CAACTATTCAGCTTGGTTAGCATTCAAAAGGCTTCTCATACTAATTATAATTGAGGAACACAGATGAACAGAAATTCTCATATGCTCTTAGTGACGATGTAAAATGATATAACCACTTTATAAAAATACGGCCAAACTGCTTTCCAAAACTAGATATAAATTTACCATGATTCAGCAATCTCACTACTTCCTATGTACTACAAAGAAAAATTTATATTTATACAAAATCCTGTGTATTTATAGTATAAATCCTGTTTACATTAAATCTATTCATAATCACCAAAAAAAAAATAAATAAATAACACATGTCCTGCAACTAGTGAATGGATAAACCAACTGTGGTACAGCCACACAACGGAATTCAATTCAGCAATAAAAAGTAACAAATGACTCAGCCCAAGTAAAAGAAATCAGTTTGAAAAGTTTACATACTATGACTCCATTTATATGATATTCTCAAAAAGACAAAATTATGCCACATGTCTGTAATCCCAGCTATTATGGAAGTTACAAGAGGATTATAAACTTAAGGTCAGTCTGGAAAATTTTAGCAAGATCCTGCCTCAAAATTTCAAAAAAAAAAGAGAAAGGGCTAGGATTACAGCTCAGTGTCAAAGCTTTTTTCTAGCATGCACAAGGCATTGGGTTCAACACCCACCACCACAAAAGAAACTACAGAGTCCATTATCAGTGAGTGCCAGGGGCTGGAGGCAAGAGAAAGTGTGAGTACAAAGGGATACCACCAGGTAGTGTTTTGGAATGATGGAACAGTTTGGTATTCTGACTACAGTGTCAATTACATGATTATAAGCATGTTTTAGTTAATTATATTAAAATTTAAAGAACTGTCTACCCAAAAAAAGCCTCAATTTTTAAATGTATGATAATTTGAAGTAATACTTCTATCAACTCACAAGCCATGAACATAACAGGTCAGAAATATTAACTGAAAAATTATCAGGGACTATATATTGTAAAACTCTTTTTAATTTAAGATTTACTTTCTTGCAAGTCCAAGACTGATCCTGCAAAACTGTTCCCTAGGATTTCAAAGTAATGAGTTCTTTTATTCAGAAATGTACTTGACTGTTACTTCAGATAAGCGCTGTATTTTACGTCTCGTTAGCCAAGGGAGATGAGCATCCTGGGAGTTTTATCAAAGTGCAAAGTCACCTCTTCCCCCACTGCTGTGCAGACAGATAGAGCACTTCCTGGAAAAGTGGTTTGTTTTCCTTGGCTCCATCCTCCCACCTTAGAATCAAACCAGGTGTAAGTCAGCTCCTGCCCTTATCTGAAGGAACCCCTTTGCTTTTTTCAAATGAGGGATTTAGGTTTTATATCTCCATAGTGCCTCAGCTTCAAGAGGCCTATCTGGCTTAGTGTGAGCTCTGTCTACAGTTAAAGGACTCCTTTCCCTACTTCTTCCCACATACAACATGGTTAAACTCCCCTGCTTTGGCAGCAACTCCACCTACTTTGTGGCTTGGAGTTTTAGCAGTCTTCTAGTTTAGGAAACTATTGGGTTTGCTGTTTTAGATTTTTCTCTCTCTGCTGTTTGTTGTTTTAGCTAACTGCCACAAAACAAAATGCCAATTTTACAATACCATTATGAAACACAAAATGCAAGAATTATCTTAAAAGTTTTTTATGCAAGACAGTAATTTATTTTACTGCTGGACATGGTGGCGCACGGCTGTAATCCCAGCACTCGGGAAGTTGAGGCAGGAGAATTGTGAGTTCAAGACCAGCCTGGGCTACAAAGTGAGTCACGGTCAGCCTAACAGCATAGCAAGACTGTCTCAAAAAAACCAAAAAAAATCTATTTTACTGAAAAATAATTGATATACTCTCCTTATTATTTTACTATGAGTTAAAAATTTTTTACACAACACTAATTTTCACAAGGCCACTAGCAATTGTGCTACTTGTTTCTATTTTTGTGTGTATTGATTTTAATGGGAGAGAGAATGTAATCTGATGCCCAGATTTTTGGAGGGGGAGAGAGAAGGAATCAAACGCAGGATCTTGTGCTTGCCAGGCAGGTGCTGTGCCCCTAAGCTACAACCCCAGCCCTTAGTATCTTTTACATCTAGGTGGGCCAGGGATATAGCTCGTGACTGCAGGTGCGAGGTCATAGGTCCGATTCCTGGTACCACCAAAAACAAAAAAGATACTCAAAAGCCAGGTGTGGTGGTGCACGCTGGTCATCCTAGCACTTGGGAGCCTGAGGCAGGAGGATCGCTATGAGTTCAAGCCAGCCTGGGCTACAAAGTAAGTTCAAGGCCAGCCTGAGCTACTGAGATCCTGCCTCAAAAAGACCAAAAAAAAAGAAAGCATTTAAAAAAATTATTTGACAACAAGCCAATCATTATTACCTATTGCAGGTAAGACTTACCATTAAATGGTAAAACCAGCACAGTAAGAACCAGGATATCTACATAGTCTCAAGTTTTTTCCATGGTTCATGCTTGTAATCCCTGCACTTGGGAGGTTGAGGCAGGAAGATTGCTGAGTTCAAGGCCAGCCTGCACTACCATAGCAAGACCCTGTCTCAAAAAAAAATCTTTCCATAAGAAATCTCCTACTAAGGGAAAAACAATAACTTTACAGAAGAGAAACCTGTCTCAAAAAAAAAATTTTTCCCTAAGAAATCTCCTACTAAGGGAAAAACAATAACTTTACAGAAGAGAAACCTGGTATGTATCACCTTAAATGATCAAACTCCATCAACAGTATTGGGACAAATACATGCCATGTACCTTGACATATGAAGCACTTAAAATGGAATTCCTTGCGGCTGGGGATTTAGCTCAGTGGCACAGCGCCTGCCTGGCAAGCAGGAGGTCGTGAGTTTGATTCCCAGTACCAGAAAAAAAAAAAAAAAGAAATGGAATTCCTGCCAAAAATATACACCAGAATATAACCACGGAAACACACTGGACAAGCACAAACTGAGGGACAACAGAAATCACTGCCTGTGTTCTTAAAACTGTCAAGGTCATAAAAGATAGAAGAGCTACTAACATTAAAAGAGACTGAAGAGAATGTCAAATCAACTTTTTTTTTTGTCTTTTTCAGATAGGGTCTCATCTCACTCAGCAGTTCAGGCTGGCCTTAAGCTCCCTTTGTAGCCCAGGCTGGCCTTGAACCTGCAGGGATCCTCCTGAGTGCTGCGATTACAAGTGAGTGCTGTGATTACAAGCTCACAAGCGTGCACCACGACGTCTGGCCACCGACAACTCAATTTAACATTGGACTGTAGGCAAGATTCTAATCCAGAAAGTTTTCTTTCATTACACAGACTACAAATGGAATAATTGGCAAAATCTGTCTCTAGAATTATATCTATGTTTAAGAAATACAAATTAAATCATTTAGATGTTAAAGACATCATTTCTACAATTTATTCTCAACCTTTTTTTAATTCTCAACTTATTAAAAAAGAATACTGGACATATATGTAGAAAAAAGTGATAAAGCAAATATAACAGAAAGTAACATTGGGGAAATGTGGGTAATATATATGGATTCTCTGCTATTTTTACAACTTATCTTTAAGTCTAAAATTATTATTTTTTAATACCGGGAATCAAACTCAGAACCTTGCACTTGCCAGGCAGGCACTTGTGCCACTGAGCTATATCCCTGGCTAAAATTTTTTTTTTTTTTTTTTTATTTTAAGGATAAAAGGAGGGAAACATTAACAGACATACAACATTTTACAACATATCACAAGCACAATACAGACAATACAGAGTTACAAACAAAGTGGTAGGGAATTAACAATGGTGGTTGTATTACATATTGATATCTTCAAAGTGGCTTCTCATGAAAACAGATATAGACATGCAATACTGGTCAACCAAAGACTCATTGACAGTTTCTTTCAGCATAGAAACAGCAGATAGAAGAACAACCATGTTAAAATTATTTCAATAAATAAAAACAATGACAATTAAGATAAATTTTTTATTTTTCCTAATTATCACTGCAATCTTTCTCAGCAAATCATGAAATTTTAGAATTGGTATAAAAGTGTATTATCTTTATACAAATATACAAATGAAGACAATAAAATCACATGATTTGCTCAAGTATCACACTTCTTTCGAGTCAGAGCCTAGAGGACTATCCAGGTCTAATTCCACTCACCTTTACCTTTCAACTATTCCAAAATGTCTTTCAATACCTTTACACTGTCTTCTACTCTTAAAACATGTGATACCAAGATATTTACCCCTTCTCATATATTTTAACATGCTACAATAAGCACTTCCAAAATATCAAAATTTTATTTAAAAAAAATCATCTGGGCATCACTGTTACTACTAGTAATCTTTTTGTTTTTTAATTGTAATAGGACTGAACTCAGGGTATTCAAACTAAGCAACATTCCCAAATATATGTATGTATATGTTTTTTTGGGTTTTTTTTGGAGACAGGGTCTCCCTAAGTCCCTAGATTCAATCTTGCCACTTTCTTGCTTCAGCTTCTAAGAGCTGAGAATACAGGTGTGCATCACTATACCCAGCTTTGGTAATCTTTAATAACTAATATGAATAAATATTAGAGATCTGAATACCAGTCAAATACTACACCAAACATTAAAAAGACAAAATTAACTATTAATTTTGTAGTACTATTAGGTCCACAATGGTAGAAACCAAGTTTGTATTATTAATGATTACCAAAAAAAAAAAATTACAGCCTCACCACTTAGGACAGTGCCTAAATAAATACTGAAATTACTGTTACACACTACAAAATAAAAGACAGGAGTGAGGTGTATGTGGAATTTATATCAGTGGGATCACTAAAGAACCACAAGTTAAACAGTAAGGAAACTGTCTTTTTCGGGGTGAAATCCAGAAAGACAGTACGATTTTAATAAGACATGGAAGCAGTGGGATGGTGACAGGAAGGTAATGGGATTTTGACCCAACAGCCCAAAGGCAAGAAAATACATGGTATTTCTACTCAATTTTTAAACATAGGCTTACCTATCGTCGCTGCCAGTTCTGGATCAAAAGTATCATCTGTGAACCTCAAGAGCAGGCTAAAGGAGAGAAAAGGACCAGGGAGTTAACATTTATTTCTAATCCTACCATAAATGTGCTCATGATTGCAACTATTTGTCATGAACTATCAGACATAGGTAAGAAAAGCTGATGAGGCCTGCTCCCAGGAACACTGCCTCAGTGCACATTTCTACAGAGGAACTACAGTATTAGAAAGACAATTTAAAAGTCTGAAGGTCAAAACAGTTTACTGTAAATGTATATGCACCTCATACTTCTCAGCTACAAAAAGGTAGGATTTTGTTAACATTATTTTAAAAAATCAATATTATGCCTTCTGAGAAAATAGAAGCAACACGTCATGTTTTAATTGATACACATGACAGTGGAAATACAGTCTTAGAAGGCAACACAGTCACTCTGAAAAACAAAAACCCGCTGCATAATCCATTCTGCATTCAAGTAAAAACAGAAAGGCATAAAAGCATAACATCTTGTAACAAGTAGTACCACTATTACTTAAGTGGAAAGAAAAGGTACAGTAAACAAAGTGGGTAGAAAGATCAGTAACAGCCACAGCAGATGTTTTCTGGCAAGTGCTAGGCAGGGCAAAAAAAACAAGTAGGCAAGTGGAAGCTAATGCAGGCTTTTAAAGAATGGAATGACAAGATCTGTTTTGTTTTCAACAGTTAATGCCAGAAAAAATGGAGGAAAAAAGTCAACAAAAGCCACGGTTACGGTGAGAGGGAAGTAAGGACTAAATCTTGCAAATGTCTAACTGGAAAGGAGTGAAAGCAAAAGACACCAGATTACGAGGACACTCTAAGATGTTTCCCCTCGCCCCATCATTTTACATAATACAAAGCAAAAGTGTTTGAGTCTCTTCAAAACATGAAATCTAAGCTTTTGATAAAGCCCTGTATTTACAAAATTAATCAGAATTATTAATTCTTTAGTATTTAACTTTTTAGGTTGTCCTACTGATCTACTCACATTAATAAAATAGCTATCAGATTTCTGAATTAGAGACACTTTCATGAATATTTCTATAGGTTGTAATTAGTGCTGCTAGAGATACTTTTGGCCACACAGTATAGAGCAAAACATAACAGCCTCCTGATAGTTCCCAAACCCATTAACATTAAATAATTGTATTTAAAGGATTAACTCTCCCTTTCTTGGTTTTCTTTTCTTTTGTTTGTCCTTAAGGTAGGCACCATAGGATCAAAGTAAAACAGAAGAATCAAATTCTAGATTTTTCTTCACACCATGACTATAACTTTTTTACTTACCAACATGAGTTAGGCGATAAGACTGTTAATGACAATAAAATTTTTCCTCTTCTTGTGCAATACAACTACCCATAATTTAAGAATAGAATATATCTATACTTGGCCACCACAGAAAATATTACAAAACCATAGGTGAACATAACTGTGTGCAGTAATATTAATAACAATATCATAACGCAAGTAATGTTTTTTACTATTACTTATTAAGTACATAACAGTGTGCTTGATACTGAGCCAGGGAGTCTTCTTCAGTACTACTCTGTCAGAAAAGACAGGGAATTGGTATGGTGTGAGGCAACAAATTTTAATATAAGCTCTGAGTACAAGTCATACTTAGCCAAGGGTACACTGTTAGACCAAAATGTATTCAAAATTGTATATATGCATTTCTCTAGACAATGTCTGTTTCTTTATTAGATTCTGAAGGAAATTCAGAACTCCAAAATGATTATGAACCTTATCTTTAATACGGTATATTTAAGCTTTCATACTTTCCAAGTTAAAGGAGAACAATACATAACTGAGAAGTAACTACCAATATACCACTTAGATAAAACCAAACATATAATAGAGTGCGAGGCTGGGCATGGTGGTGGCACATGGCTGTAATCCCAGCACTCAGGAGGCTGAGGCAGGAGGATCGCTGAGAGTTCAAGGCCACCTGGGCTACAAAGTGACTTCAAGAGCCAGCCTGCACTGCATAATGAAACACTGTCTCAAAAGAGCAAAAAGCAAAAAAAAAAAAAAAAAAAAAAGAGTGGGGTTATAACCAATTGTATTTCTCAATTTAAAAACAAATTCACCTAAAAGAATGGGACTGAAAGGTGTACATTAGGGATTGAAATTTAGATAATAAAAGGTTTCTATATTCCCTTCCCAGTGTTCCATTTTTACCCCACCAGGCCTAGCTACCAAGTCAGATTGCCTTGGACGGGTTTCTGTTAAACCCCTCAGTCTTCCAATGAATGCTAGAGTGTTTAAGTATCACACACAAGGTTACACAAGGGACAGCGCTGGTTTCATAATCCCGATCTCCTAGCTACTATCACAAACTCCTTACACTCTAGCATTATGAGATAAACTGGAAAGAAATCTACCAATTTGGATTAAGAGACCCCTTGTTGTGCAGTAATCCCTCCATAACACAACTGTCATCTTACTGCCTCTAGCTCTGTAAGGAAATAAACTACTGGTTAGAACGACCCATTAAGATTGTATCTATACTCCAGAGGCTGAGGCAGGAGGATTGTTGAGTTGGAGACCAGCCAGGGCTACAAAGTGAGTTCAAGGGCAGCCTGAACTGCACAGCGAGACCCTGTCTCAAAAAAGGAAGAAAGGAAAAAAAAATTTAAAAAAAGATGGCACCTATGACAAATATTTTTGTTGTCCTTTTTTTTGTTTTTTTTCCGGTACAGGGAATCCAACTCACGACCTCGCGCTCGCCAGGCCGGCGCTGTGCCGCTGAGCTAAATCCCCAGCCACCTACCTTGTCTTAAAAAGAGTAAGTTTCTACTTTAGTGGGTCATTTATTCTCTTCTCCACAAAGATAAATCTTCAAAGTTGTCTTCCATAGCATATTACATATCCTAAGAGTGTATATCTAACTAGAAAAACAAGAATTATCTACCTTTCAACAAGAAAGGGAAATGCAAGAAAGATACAATCCTTTCTTCAAAGACAGCTAAATTTTTGCAGTGATCAGTTCACAACTGAACATTAAGCATGGAGAAAAGTTTAACGCAGATTAGGCCCAAATAAAATTGGGCTGGGCGCGGTGACACACCAGGAGGCTGAGACAGAAAGACTGCCGCCAAGTTCGGGAAAAGCCTGGGCTACAAAGTGGGTTCAAGGGTAGCCTAAACTGCATACCGAGACGCTGTCTCAAAAAGACAAAGAAAAAAAAAGTCAGACGGCAAGGGTGACTTCACCTGGAGAACTTTGTTCAAAGACCTGGAGGAAATCACAAGCGTCTGGCACCACTCGCTAGTTCCGTGTCTCACCTAACACGCAGCTCTAACTACTGCCAGTACCGTTTCCCCGCGGAGAGGGTCGAGGAAGTCAGTACCAGCGTGCCTTTACCTCCCTGTGATGTGGCAGAACGACGGGGAAAGGCTTCGCTTTCAAACGTGGTCGTCCGCGGAAGCGCCGGCGCGGCTCGGCGCGGTCTCGGAAACGAGCGCTCACCGCCGCCCGAGCAGACACCGAGGCGGACCCCGGCCGGGCCCGCACAGGCCAGGCGCGAC